TTTGGCTGGTCAACTGCATGGTATGGTAACCTTATATACCTACTAGACATGCGAATTAACCAGTCCCATACAGTTGCCATTACACGGCTCAAAGATGTAGTGTTGCCTCTGGGAGTCGCCAATGGAATTAAAACAAACACACACAAGAAATGAATGTACGCCAGGCATGAAGTGTGCATAGACCAGCGCACATTCTCACATTAATTTCATCTATAGTAAATCCAAAAGTGAGTATAATAATAATAATAATAATAATAATAACAATAATAACTACATTTTTAAGGTTATTCATTATTAAATGGACCTGATTAAACGTATGATTCCTTTCTGATATTAGGGTATTTTCTTTAATATCTGATCCAGTATTTTCCTGCCATGGGTTTCCTATTAAACAGTCCCTCGCCTTAACTTGCCGCGAGTGAGACAGAAAATAAAAGCACAGCAGCAGCAAGAACAAAGCAGATGCTCAAGACAGAAATCTTTAAAATAATGACATATTAAAAAAATTTCAATTACATAAGTAAATATGCAGTCTACATTTTGATTAACTGACCAGCGCATTAATGGCAGCATCTGCTGAGAAAACTAAGAAGTGATGTGCTCCTTTTGCACAGTCACCCATCGTAAAGAACGAGAAAAAAATGAAACATGCTAGACTTTCTGCGATGGTGTCGTGAGGATTTGCAGGCATGGTATTGATTGTCATGAACCATGCCACATTACACAAAGAAAGGATTGAATTTTGACATCCAATGTTAAGAAAATTGTGCCGAAATCATACCATTTGTTTTGTAAAAATTAAAGTGAAGTCTTCCTGTTGTGTGCATGCTCTCAACTGACGAAGTTTAAAAGTCTGGTGAGTGAGACAAACTAGAAATTTTTAGAAACTACAGTTTTTTTATGTAATTGCTTTGAGCAAATCGTATTGACTGGATTGTTTTCTTCCTAATTCAATTAATTAAGGAAGAAAGCTTCCATCTACAGCAAAATTTTCATGATGAACAATCATATTGGTGTGAAAAAACCTTATTGTGATTTCTATAGCAATAATCTGTGACTCTTTCAGGTGTTTCTAAGAGTGGCTGCTGGGATGTGTCTTACACCTCTAGAAGAGTCTGTGCTTTGATAAACTCAACAGTAGACTTTTCCTGCACATACTCACATCCCTCTGATTATATGATTGATAAAACATTCTGGCATTATGGTCGGGCTGGGGACTTCAGGGATCTGCGTGAGGAGCATCAGTTTGCTGGTCGTGTGGACTTTGTGGAGAACAAACTGAGAATCAAAGAGCTCAAGATCAGCGACTCTGGAGAATATCAGTTCAGGATCATCTCAGACAAAACAGGAGGAACATACTCTGGTTCACCTGGAGTCATTCTTACTGTTACAGGTACAATGATGGTGTTATATTACTTGTGATGACAAACTATTGACTGTGTTTTGTTTTTCAGATACGCAGGTGATAAGCAGACCACACACTGTATCAGAGGGAGAAAAAGTGATATTAAGCTGTTCAACTAAATGCACTCTGAGTAACAAACACACCTACATATGGTACAAGAAGGGACGACAGGTCACAGATGGATTCACTAAAGACAACAAGCTGTACCTGGACTCAGTCAGCAAAGAAGAGCTGCAAGAGTTCTCCTGTACTGTAGGAGGTAAAACATCTCTATCACACATGTACATTGTGGTTTTTTCTCTGATAGTCATGATTGTCTTCTTTGTGTTGTACAGAAGCAGTGGACAGCACAGCAGTCAGCCATTATACAGTCACTCTGCTGGTGTTTGTACCTCAGTTTCTCATAATAGCAGCGGTGTGGATGTGGTGAGTTAAATATTCAGTGAAATTCACATTTATACAGTGAACATAGAAATTCATTAGATTATAAGAATGTGAAATCTGATTCAACAGGTTTTTCATCAGAGCACATCTCTTCTCAAAAACTGAAAACAAAGGTGAAGGTAAGAAATAAAGTATGTAAAGAGTGTACCATAAAATTTAATTATAATGACAAAAACACTGTTGTAAATATTTCTACATCTGTATCGTTTGTCTCAGGAGCTGTTGTTCCTCGTCCCTAGATCTTCTCTGTCCATCTGTGCTGGGAAAAAGACATCATTGAGTTTTTTTCAGTTGTGACATCATCACATTTAGGCTTTGATCTATTAATTCTACTAGTTCATGATTTAGTGACTTATAGGAAAAAAGTATGACTTAATAATGACTTATAGGTCTATTTATGTCATGAAAAATAAAGGTATTTTAATGTATTCCTCTTCCTGCCAAAAATAACGAGCTGTTTTTATCCTAAGATCATGCAAGAATCCACATGATTAAGGTTTTAACCTTTTTTTTTTAATTGTGTTGCTTTATTTTAGTATTGGTGCACACCTTCATATTTTGTTTCTGTAGTTTTCAGAAGTGTAACTAATTGTAAGGCTTGAAGCTTACATTGCTATTCTGAACCAGTAATTAAGGACAGAAAGCAGATGATGAATGACGTGTTTAAATCAATTATTTATCTGACTTCATTATAATTCATTTGACTCAAGTAGAGTTGTTATCATCATTGATAAATTGACATCCCAGATCAACAGTTACCATTTTTTAGTATACCCTGAGCAAAGCATTGTCAAACATGAGTGAAAACCAACCCTAAAAACAGCTAAACATTAAAGCAAAGTTGAGGAGATAAAGTAGGGGAGAAGAACATTAACATACTCTAGACTATGACTCAACAATAGAAAATAGATTATATATAGAAGTACATCAGTGTTTCTGTTGATTGCCTTACTACAACACTTTAGTCATAAACTGTCAAATGACATCAAACACAACAAATTTATATCGAAGATCACAAGCAAATGAATTGTGTGTGGTTAAGAGCACAGGTTACTGTAAGCAAATGGCAGAGATGTGTACTGGAGATGTGAGGAAGTCACCCGTCCTGTGCTTGTAATGTCTCAGTGGTGCTTCATTAGCATAGGAGAAATAGTATATAACATTTTCTCAGCTCACACTAATGTGTCAATATAAGACCTGTTCACATTAAAAACAGAAACTGTAACTATTAATGATAACAGTGTTTGTGATAATAATGGCTTTTTCTATCCACATTCTGGATGCATCTGACCTTGCTCTGTCACCTTCCCTAATTTGGTATTAAAAGGCTGAAAATCATTAAAGACATTTGTTTTTATTGCAAATCATGTTTCTTGTAAAACCATTAAGGGTTTAAACACACATACACTACACGTACAAACAGCTCAGTGTATTTTATGTTGAGCAAGAAGATAAAAACAAACCATTTTATTGTTATCATCTAAATGTTTTTTTTTTTTCTGAACAAGCTATGTGTTCAAATGTTTTAAAAGTCAACACTGCAGCAATACATTGAAGTTTATGATGCTGGGTTAGTAATTGTAGGAGACTTTTAAGTGGTTATAATGTATTTTACAATAGCAAAATCAGAATCTTGATGCTGCACTTCTAATAAGGTCTATTGATGTGTGTATGCTGTAGGTGCCTGCACTCCTTCACTTTAGTCTGCCTGTTTCTGTTGGTGACATTTTTATTTTACTATTTTTTGGAAAATGGGCAAATTAGGTTGGCTATGGCATCTAAAATCATCAAAAACATTGCAACATCACTAGTCTACAGACATTGCGATACTTTTGTTAGCACAAAGGAAATTGTGGCATACTGTAAATCGTATGTGTCATGCTGCTCCTCAACATATTTTGAGGAGGAAACAACTGCATTTTGGTCTTTTGTAGCCTGGGGTTACACAACTTATACCAAAGGCTGTTAAATGCTTGATTTTGATTGGCTGATGAACACTGTAAGGATAAACTATTAATTTGAGATAAACAGACAGTCAGTTTCAGGCAGATCTTGACCTTATTACAGCTCCACATTAGTGTGCTGAATGATTTCAGTCTACAACAGTAAAACATGTAATAATGATACAAAAAACTAGGCTAAGATGTGTAAGATGAGGTGTAAGAACGTCCTACCCCACTCACTAATAAGCCTTCAGCTTAGTCTCTGATTTATTAGGGGTTACCACTGAAGCATGAACCAGCAATTACTTTGGTGTAAAGTGGCGGATGCTTTTCCTACACAGCACTGGGAAACATTCATACATACACCTATTCTTGACTATTAAAGGTTAAAAAACTAATGAATATCTTGGAATACCAGCCTGATTTCACAAGGAAACATAACTATTTTACGTTTTGTCAGTTTAGAGGCTAATTTGTTTGAATTCGTATCAGTTCAGCCGTATGAAAATGTATGATTTAAAAAAATTAGGTGTGGCACCCAAGCCGACCCTAAACCTGCCGTCACAGGGGGATAAGCAAATTGTACTAAATTGTATGAATAAAATCGCACAGTTTTATATGAATTAGCCAATATATTAAAAAAATTATGAATTGCTGTGAGATTGTGTTGCAAATACAGTATCCGAGCAGTGTTTTAGCTATAATAAAAGTGGAATAATAGACTGCAGTTCGTTTAATTTTTGACAAATAATGCAGACAGGAAGTGTATATTGAGAAAAGGATGTAAAGAATCAATTATTCAATACTTATCTTAATACAATTATAAAAGCAATATAATATAATAAATAATATTACAAAAATGCTTTTTTGCATATTAACATTCATAAACAATAATAATGTTTTTGTAACGATAACGGAAATGATGTTCACAGATCCCTATAAAGTGTGCTATGAAGAATTATAATTCTATTGACAAAGTACACCTTGTTTAACTAGGCTGTTTCAGGTTTGTGATGCGAGTCCCCCAAAACATAAAATGTACAAGAAATGAGTAAGAAAATCAACTAACCTGAAGCTTGAATATTTAAAGTGTAATAAGATCTTTAAAAACAGATCCACTCATGCAGGCGGTTAGTTAACCGCTGTTGCTCAACAAGTGGCCAAAATGACAGAACTAGGAAGGAAATAAGATCATCTGATTGCTGGGATGTTCAGACATTGACATCACTTTGTAACAACACTTACAGCTCTGCAAGCTGGAGAAATTTTAAATTTTGTAAGTATACATGCCTTTATATCTTTATATATTTAAGAATTGTGTTATAATGTAATATAGCAAAGGTAACTTGAGTGAAAGTAATGTGCTCTTATTTGTGTTATTTTTTTTACAACTCAAAGGTTTGAAAGTCAAATCATGGATTTCAGGCTATTTTTGCTGATCCTGCTTCTACACATTTCAGGTAAGATTATTTTGTTGATGAATTTGACACATTTTAAAGCTGACAGAGTGTTGCTTCACTGTTCTTTAGTGACTTGGTTTGTCATGAGGTCTTTCATTAGTCCACATTTGCAGTTTCTTCTTTGTTTTATCAGGCTCTCTAACATTAGACGAACTCTCTGTGACTTGTAAAAACATTTGTGCTCTGAGGGAAACCAGTGTGCAGTTGAAGTGCACCTACAACAACATCCCATTTAAATCTGTGTTCTGGTTCAGCTGGAAACAAAGTCCAAACTGGAGGAAAAACAATGAACCTGAATATTTAGATTTAGATTTTGACTACTCAGGACGAGTAAAGCAAAGCTTTAACAATGACTGTTCAATACTCTTAATATCAGATGTGAGTGAGCGAGACTCTGGGGAATATCAGCTCATGTTCATCATGAAGGATGGAGTTAAACGTCTCGCCTCAGTCGCTGTTAATTTAACAGTAACAGGTAAAACTCAGTCTAGATTCTGGGCTTATTAGCTGATTTTTCATAATGTTCTTACTAATTTTACTGTCATTTAGATTTGCAGGTAAAGATGAGTCCTGCATCTACAAACACCAGAGGTCAGGCAGTAAATCTGACCTGTGATACTTCATGTGATTTGACATTCAAGCCAAAAAATTACTTCTGGAAAAAAAATGGACAATATATAGAAGGTCTTCATGCTAGAAACATCACTGTGCTTTCAACAGAAATGGATGGCAGTTACTCCTGTTTTCTTACTGCAGACCTTAAAAATTCCTCCTCTCCTGTTTGTAAGTATTAAGCAGTTCGGCTTGCTTTGCTTAACTCTGTTTGCATTTTCACTGAAATTTATTAAAAAAGTTTAATTAAAAAAATAAAAAAATAAAAATAAATATATATATATATATATATATATATATATATATATATATATATATATATATATATATAATAAAAAGGGATGTGGCACTATCACCTCACAGCAAGAAGGTTGCTTGTCTGTGTGCCGGCTGGGTCAGTTGGCATTTCTATGTACAGTTTGCATGTTCTCCCTGTGCTCGCATGGGTTTCCTCTGGGTGCTCCAGTTTCCCCCACAGTCCAAAGACATGCAGTACAGGTAAATTGGGAAGCTAAATTGGCCGTAGTGTATATGCGTGTTTGAGAATGTGAGTGTGTATGGGTATTTCCCAGTAATGAGTTGGAGTTGGAAGGGCATCTTCTGCGTAAAACATATGCTGGAATAGTGGCTGGTTCATTCCACTGTGGCGACCCCTGATAAGGAATTAAACCGAAGGAAAATAAATAAATCAAATAAAAGTTTTGTTTTTTTAGTTTACATTTCACACCTTATGCTTGTGCAAGTTGGTTTTGTGCATTGAAGGCGCGCTGCTTTTACATAGTTGAAACGATCTCAACTTGTCAGAATGCCGCAAGCGCACTGCGAGTCACGTGACAAGAACTGACCGATCAGCTTCATACTTTGATTGGAATATACACAATTTCAGTAGACTAATCACACCCAAACACTGCAGTGCTTGCTCTTCTCCATAAATAAACTTGTATCAGAGCTGCAGCGATGTTTTGTTAGTTTGGCATGGTCACCTAGCAATGACAGACGACAAAGGAGTACGAACGTAAATCACATTGAAAGTGGTGAAGGAAGCAATGCCGCTCACTCTTTCCACCTGCTTTTTGATGCAATGTGTGAACAGCCTCTCATACCACTTATGTGGGTTTGATTATCACTAGTTGTGGCGACTTTACCCCCATGACTTCTTGAAAAGAGTTTTCAGTCCAGGTCATCCCATCCTCTTGCTAAATCTGATGCTCAGTTACCTACAAGAAGGGCATCTGGAACTCTTCTACTGACCACAATTATACCATTTCAGGTGTTTTTTCTTGCAGTGGTATACAAATGGTTTAGTCGCGCAAATCAAAAATATTTTTCTGTATTTTATCAATATTTTTAAATAGTCAAACCAATTTATTGATACAAACCAATGATGCTGTTATGTTGGCTCTGTCAGTCCAGTCAGTGATCAGCAGTGTGTATACATCACATTTTGAAAATATTGCTTGCTTGGAACCTCACCCATGGTGGTACTAACCAGTTACAGAATGCAGTAGAAAAGTTCCCAATTCCTTAGACATTCCCTGCAGTGAAAAAAAAAAACTTTAGTGTACAATTTGTTTTGTAAAATTTTAGAAAAGTCATGAAGTCTTCCTGTTGCATGCACATCATCCAAAAGTGTGGTTATTGGGATAGACTAGATTTTTTTTTGCATGTGCTCTAAACGAATCGTATTGACTGGATTGTATTCTTCAAAGAGTGGTTAACTGAAGAAGAATGCCCTCAGACATCTGCCCTGAGTCTGAATTCTCATGTTGAACAATCATATTTATGTGAACAGGCCTTATTATGAGTTTTACAGCAATAATCTGTGACTCTTTCAGGTGTTTCTAAGAGTGGCTGCTGGGATGTGTCTTACAACTCTAGAAGAGTCTGTGCCTTGGTCAACTCAACAGTAGACTTTTCCTGCACATACAAACATCCCTCTGATTATACTGTGAAGAAAACATTTTGGCATTACGTACAGACTGGAGATTTCAGGGATCTGCGTGAGGAGCATCAGTTTGCTGGTCGTGTGGAGTTTGTGGAGAACAAACTGAGAATCAAAGAGCTCAAGATCAGCGACTCTGGAGAATATCAATTCAGGATCATCACAGACAAAACAGGAGGAACATACTCTGGTTCACCTGGAGTCATTCTCACTGTTACAGGTACAATGATGGTGTTATCATATTACTTGTGATGACAAACTGTTAACTGTTGTTTTTTTTCAGATACAGAGGTGATAAGTAGACCACACACTGTATCAGAAGGAGAAAAGGTGATATTAAGCTGTTCAACTAAATGCACTCTGAGTAACAAACACACTTACATCTGGTACAAGAACGGGCGGCAGGACACAGATGGATTTACTAAAGACAACAAGCTGTACCTGGACTCAGTCAGCAAAGAAGAGCGTCAAGAGTTCTCCTGTGCTGTAGGAGGTAAACATCTCTATCACATGTTCTTCAAGGAGAAGAGTGTATGTTTTCAGCGAAATATCACTTAATATTTAATTCTTAAACGTATTAGCCATTTTCCTTACACCTTTTCTAAAATTGTCATATGCTAGAAATGCGAGCTGAACACAGTTCTACAGCTCTACAGAACACCTTGATCGTACTCTTCATTTTTCTGATTCTTCTTATCATTGGAGTCCTGTATTACAGGTAAAAAGCAACAGCATTTATTATTAAAAAACAAAATGTATGCTCATTTGTGGTGGTTCTGGATTTGTGCAAAAAAAGGATATTGCAAATAATGGGAGATGGAAACACATTTGCAGAATAAACTCTGAAGTAGCAAATATACACCCACATGACTCCCACTATGCTTTTCTTGTTTCCTGTTGTAAAATATTTGCTTCCTGTTAGAATGGAAACTCTGCTACAGCCAGATTTAAACAAACCTTGTTAATGCTTCCCATCTATTAATAGGCTTTAGAATAGCTTGCAAAGCTGTAGGGGTTAAACAACCCAACTTTTGTTTACTTATATCATTATGTCTTTGCATTATCAATACCTCTGTTTTTCTTTTTTGCTTTACCACAAACGTGTGGGCCAAGTTGCTGAGTTTTCAGAAAGCCATTGCTGTGGTTTTGGAACAAGCTATTTTTGCAGCATAATTTCAGAAGTTGGTCTGATTGGGTTAGGAGGACTTTCAAGTTTCAAATGTGGTTATTTTCATAACAAACTCTTTCAATAAATTTGGGTTCCTAATATATATATATATATATATATATATATATATATATATATATATATATATATATATATATATATATATATATATATATATGTATATTTCTTTTATTATGCAGTTTAGGCAGGAGAAGAAAAAACAAGTCATCGGTACAACATAAGCACACAAAAGAGGCTGTACAGGTAAGAGAAAAGAGCCAAACTGATTAACCCACACACATATGCTTCAATATCTTGTTTCCAGTCACTGACATTTTGCCTTTTTTCTGCTACAATTTAGTTGGATTCATCCCCAGTATATGAAACTGTTGCTCCTTTGTCTACGGTCTGCACACAGCAAGATCACATAAAGAATCAGGACATTCATTACTCAAGTATACATTTCAAGAAGTCAGACATTAAGAACACATCTGTGGTGACTACTGGTGAACAATCAAGCACAGATGATGTTCATTATTCTGCTGTGAAGTTTAGTCAATGATTTGTTTAGACTCCCACCTCCACAAAAAGCTACTTGCCACAACCTAATAATTGCAGACCGACATTATGTGACCCAGCTTTTTCTCTTGTCAAACATTCATGGATGTATAGTGGAGATCAAATTTACACAGCGGATGCTCTTCCAGCTGAAACCCAGTACACACACACATACACTATGGACTATTTAGCTTACCCAATTCAATTCACAGTCCAAAGACTGTATAAATAACCCATGCCAACATGGGGAGAACATGCAAACTCCATACAGAAATGCCAACTGTCCCAGGCAGAACTGTACTGTGCATATACAGTCAGGTCCATAAATATTGGGACATCATCACAATTCTAACATTTTTGGCTCTTTACACCAACACAATGGATTTGAAATGAAACGAACAAGATGTGTTTTAACTGAAGACTGTCAGCTTTAGATAGAGGGTATTTACATCCAAATAAGGTGAACAGTGTAGGAATTGCATCAGTTTGCATGTGTGCCTCCTACTTGTTAATGGACCAAAAGTAATTGGACAATTAGCTTCTAAGCTCTTTCATGGCCGGGTGTGTGCTATTCTCTCATTATCCCAATTACAATGAGCAGATAGAAGGTTCAGAGTTCATTTCAAGTGTGCTGTTTGTTTTTGGAATCTGTTGCTATCAACTCTCAAGATGAGATCTGTCACTATCAGACAAGCAAGCCATCATTAGGCTGAAAAAACAAACAAACAAACAAACCCATAAGTGAGATAGCAAAAACATTAGGAATGGCCAGGCCAACTGCTTGGAACATTCTTAAAAATAAAGAACACACCAGTGAGCTCAGCAACACCAAAAGACCCAGCAGACAATGGAAACTATTGTGGTGGATTAGAAATCTTTCCCTGGTGAAGAAAAAAACCCTCTCCAGGAGGCAGGTGTATGTGTGTAAAAGTCAACAATCAAGAGATGACTATACCAAAGTTGATATAGAGGGTTTACCACAAAATGTAAACCATTGGTGAGCCTCAGAAACAGGAAGGGCAGAAAATGCCTTCACAGTGGTGGAACAACATCTTATGGACAGATGAGATCAAGATCTGCTTATGATCCTTAGCATGGTGGTGGGCATGTATGGCTGTCAATGGAACTGGTTCTCTTGTATTTATTGATGGTGTGACTGCTGACAAAAGCAGCAGAATGAATTCTGAAGTGTTTCAGGCAATATTATCTGATCACTGCATACGCAACCAAAGAGTTGTTGAAGGGAAAGAAGTGGATTGTAATGCAATGGCCAAGTCAATCCCCTAAGCTGAATCTGATTAAGCATGCATTTCACTTGCTGATTACAAAACTGAATGTAAAATGTCCCAAGAACAAACAGGGCCTGAAGCAAAAAGAAGCTTTAAAAGGCAGAGTGATGGCATATTGTTCTTAACCACTTTAACTCTGCTGCTATTTGGGGATTTCTGCCTGGATTTTTCCTATCCAAATTTAAAAGCTACCCAAATCCACATAAAGAGGTGTAAATGCAAAAATTTGGTATTATTTTAAAGAAAACCCTTTGAATTTTCAAAAAACACTATTGAAAGTGTTTGAAAATAACGGTTTATGTCGTCTGTGTTATAATAAACACCTAAAAAAAAGAGGCGCTTTTTGTATTTTTTTTTTATAAACTCAAATTTGAAAGTGTACCTTTTAGGTTCTGTGTGGTCTAGCGTGCTGTAGTTAATTTTGGTGGTTCCTGCACATGTCTGTAATCATAGGAAAAAAGAAAAAGGTCTCTACCATAATCTATGCAAAAGTTATTGCATTCCAACTGATGAGAGTTGCTATACAAGCCACAGAGATTGATCCTTGTTTACATATTTCACTATTATTTTGTTTGATCAAACATAATTCACTGTGTTTGGACCACATCAGACATATAAAAGGATTACTTATGCACATCACCTCAAAAACAGAAGAGAATGGCCCTGAAGGGCACAGCATAAGCTAAGAGATGACAGCTGTCTGTGCTATCTGGGGCTGCTTATTGATCATGAATGTATTGTATACATTTCTGCGCCACGGAAACACCACAATTCATTCAACAACTGTTTGGCATATGAATATAATTCAGTAAAAAGAATGCTAGAACTGTATGAGCACCGGCAAGAGCTTTCATTTAAGCTATAACTTGTACATGTGTCATATAAAAGAATATGAAAATGAACCAATGTAAAATACCTAGCTCGGGTATCCAAAATACTGTGTATTTAAGTGTAAATAACTTTTATACAGTAGGATAAAAGTAGGACCAAAGTGATGCATATGTGCATAAAAATATAGATTCTACACTTTCAAACGACACCACTTACGGGGGTCTGGTGCAACGCTAGCCGTTTAAATCTGAAAGCGAAAGTCGATGACGTCACGGACCCGGTACCGGGTCCGCAGAGTTTAAGTGGTTAAGGTGGGGGGGGGCAAGATGGCGGGCTGAACGCATCCGTTTTCACCGAGCAGCCTAGCGAATCTTCTAGTTTATCCTTAGAATTCAAACATTTCTCATCTTCACCTACCTAAAACAACAATTAAACACCGCATGGGTGTTTTACATCATCAAAATGCCGAAATCTTAACAGCAGACTACCCACCAAAAGATATACATCCCTTCAGTGAAGGACGTGGCCTCAGATCCAGAAATGGAGGTACAGACGGCTAAAACAGACAAACGGCGTGATGCATCCCATTTCACCCTGACCAAAGACAACGATAAAAAAAGCTAATACCTCATGATGATGACATCACTAACGCAACTCTCTTGCAAGCCATAACATCACTGACAGCTCGTTTTGACGTACAAAATGAACAGTTAGAAGACATGGCGAATCAGATGCGAAAGAACAGCATCATGGTGGCAGAGATTTCTAACGCGGTTGAATTCAATGCTGCTGAAATTAAAGATTGCAAAGAAAAATGTGCAGAAACGAGCAAATCACTCCTATATCTAACAACATCACACTAAGACCTGGCGATTAGAACGTCAGAGCTAGAGCGATATAAAAGGAGATGGAAACTCCGGATCAACGGGATGAAAGAGAAGCCCGAGGAGGATACTCGTAAAGAAACGATTGCCATGATCGCTGAAATTGCATCGCATTTGATTCATAAATTAGAAGACATTGTTGACACAGTGCACCGAGTTGGCAAAAAGGAGCCAGGTAAACCCAGGCAAGTGATTGTGCAGTTCACAATGCGTAAATACAGGGACGAAATTTGGAGGTCTACAAAAAATTCATCTGTGTGCCGCGACCACGGAGTTCGTTTCACGGAGGATATGACGAAGGAGGACCAGCTAGTCCGCGCTGCGCTGTGGCCTTTGATCGATCAGGCGCGCAAAGCAGGAAAGATAGCCTACTACCGTGGACCGTTCGGGTATATTGAAGGGAAGCGCATTGACGCCGCATGACTGTGTAGTTGTCCTTTTATGGTAGGACAGTTTGAAATATGACTGTTAAGAAACGCTAGGCTGGGAGGTATGCTCTGTTGTGGTTATAACTGTTTGGGG